TGATTGAGAAATACTAACTTAGAAATAACTATTTGATTAAGAAATTAGTGCTTGAGGATTCTCATAACTAGTTATCGCTTGGTTGTTTACAGAAAAAAGTAGACTGGGTTTTACCTAGAAACTGAGTGCCTTTTTTGGGGTGTATCATTTTGTGCTGTGGCTTCCTAGAACAAATAACCATTTTGTTTTATTCCCAGAGAAATAATCCATGACACATGGGTTTTTATCACAAAACAAAAATGTCAAACTTTATCTTTAGAACAAAATAACTGGTTGAGTATAGTCTTTTGTCATTTATTGTAAAATATGTTATCTATGCTAAATCTTGGTAAGCATCTTACTCTCCAATCTTCTTGATAAAACAGGTGAGTAATTAATTTCTGAGCTTGGTGTATTTCCTTTGTAAGTGATCATTTGCATACGTTCATACATTCTGATACTGAAAGAAATCCTAGAAGCTAAACTTCAAAAGTTGTAGACTTTGCGTAGATAAACATCTGCTGTTTAATGGTGTTTTGAACTGCAGAGCTACCATTTAAGTACTTTTAATTCTTTTCTTTTTTATAACTGAGTGGGTGGGGAGATGGGAAAGAATTGTTAAGAATAGTCACCTCTCTCTCTCTCTCTATCTGTTTCATCCTTTACAGAGCTGGAGTTCCCACACCTGACATGCCTTCCTCATGTAGTTCAATGAGAATTGAAAAGAAGAGATTAAAAGGTACTTCAAATTTCTCAAGGGACTACAGAACAGGAAGGTTCATTTTGTTCATTGCTGAATCACTTTCCTGGCTCAGGTTTTTAAAATGTTATATTTGCTCTTTTTTTTTGTTACTGGTCCACGGAGAATATGTATTGGTCATTTTGTAAATAAGATAAATTTAATAAGCTTTTACAAGATTAAATGTATTCATCATTCATTCATTTAACCAGTAATTCCTAAATACTTAATATAGACTGCACCCTGGGAATACAAATGAACAAGAGTCAGTCATCGTATTGGCTCTCGTGGAACTTACAGCCCATAAGGAGGAATAGACCTTAAGACAGAATCATGCAGATTGCAAAGACTACTATGGTCATGGAGGGCTTCGTGGAGGAGGTGGCTTTTGAGTTGAAACCTGAAGGATGAAAACGGGCCATACATGGAAGAGCTGAGGAAGAATATTCCAGGCAGAGCTCAGCAAGAGCAACGGCCTGGAGGCTGGACATAGAAAGAAACCAACACGACTGGAGGGTGGTAGGTGAGGGGAGAGTAGAGACTGGATCAGACCAGACCAAATTTCCAAATGGAAACGTGGCTCGTTCCTGGAGAAGTATTCCAAATGGAACACTCCTATCCCTCCGTGAGGTAGGCCTAGGTGATCTGCCCCAGATTCCTGTGTGGGTGAGTGTTGATGGTACACTGATGCTTGGAAAGGCTAGATAACCTTCCCAAGGAGCACCAATGTCCACTGATCACCTATCCCCAGCACCAGCTCTTAGGGGGTAGGTAGGAGGGTGGGTGACCCAAGGCTAGCTGGTCAGGCCAGGATTTGTCCCAGGAAGAAAAGGATGTTAGTTCACCCACTTTTCTTCTGACTTCAATATGCAAAACTGTTCCCAGTAAACCAGGGCCTACTTTAGATACCACGGATGGTGGGTCATGGCTACACCAAGAGAAGATTTTTTGCTCGTGGGACCATCGAGCTCATTCCACAGACAGCTGCAGGAAATGATGGGCCTCCAGCACTGCAGACAATCAGGCAGCCAAAGATTCCAGGGCCCCCACTCCCTTCCCCTCTGTATGGAGGGCTGACCTGAATGACAGAAGGACAGTGGGAGAAGAGACACGTGAGCCACCAGCTCCTAGCCGTGCCCTTCCCAGGAGTGGGAGATAACAGACTGTATCTTCTGAAAATGAGGAATGTGATATGTGAAGTACCCTTTTTGGTAAAGGGTCAGATAGTCAATATTTTAGACATCACAGGCTATATATGGTCTCTGTAACACATTCTTCTTTGTTTTTATCTGTTAATTATTTTTTAATAACACTTCGAAAGGATTAAAAACCATTCTTAGCTTTCAGGGCTTACACTGAACGTGGCCAAGCAGGTTACAGTTTGTTGAGTCCTACGCTAGACTACATTGTCCTGTCAAATTTCAGACTGAGGCTACTTAATCTGCATTACATGCTGCATAAACATTTCTTTTAATCTTTACAAGAATTCTCTGAGATAGGTCTTATATGACAACCCTATCCCCATTTTCCACACTCATCGGTGTTTTGTGGTCAGGAGATGGAAGCTTGCAGAGGTCAAGACATCCACCCAAGGCCATGTGTCTAACAAATGATAGAAGCAAGGTCTGAACCCAGGCAGTCTGTTCTCAGGCTTCCTGGTCTTAATCACAACACTATACTATCCCCCACCGTTAGCTAGAGATACGGCTTTGGACCAATCCATTTGTCTTTCTGGGTACAGCCCCCATCTGTGCAGTAAGAGGGGTCCTCCTCAGTGTGAGAGGCACACCTGATGCTGTGTGGAATGATTTCCATGGTTCATACACACAGCATTAAATAATGTTGATTCACATGGTGAGATGACTGTCCTTTCAAGCCTCTTAAATCTTCCAATGATGTCAGGGAAAAAGGTTCAATATGACCCTCGCATGTCTTTTAACATCTCTCCAGCACATGGTATTTTCCATTTCTATAACAGCTTTCCATTTTTACTGAGTTTCAAGGCTCAGCATCTTCAGTAGGCAGTGATATCTAGCTAGAATTTAGTATCACTCTTCTATTCTTATTGTTACTTTCTGGTGTTGCTTTCATGGTTTTATTGTTATTGTTTTTTATGATTATTTTCTATTTATGTAAAGTGTTAGTGCTGCTATTGCTGCAGTTCTCTTTTCCATTCCTTCATGGCTATAAGATTGCTGCTGAAGCTCCTGCCATCACATCCATGCCCAAACTGGAACAAGGGGTAAGGGCAGGTTTCAGCTACTTTTATCTCCTACTACCAAGAAAGCAAAAGAATTATACAGACATTGCATGGATCAGAACATGTCACATGGTCACCTATAGCAGCAAGAGAGGCTGAAAAAGTGAATGTTTGGCTGGACACATTGCCACCCTGAACTAATCAGGGTTCTACAATCAAGGAAAGGGCATAGATACTGGACTCAGTAATAAAAGTATTTGCCATAGGCTGGGAAGCCTTTGAACCTTCTTAGTGCCTGCAGAGGACAGGCCTGGAAGTTAGAGATGCGGGAGGATTGGGGGAATTAAGCAGAAAGCCAATTTCTTTTTACCTTGTTTGCCACCAAGATAGTGTGGCCACATAGAGCCGCCAAACACCAATGATCCATCGTCGCTCGTAAGGAACAACGTGCAACGAGCAAAGCATTAATGTCACACGCTCTTACAGTAGTAAGAGTAGTGGTGAGAAATCTTACGGGTTTGTCCCCATTGGCCACTACGGCACAAAGTGCCAAGCAGGGTGCTTTCTCAGTCTCTCTTATGTAGAAGATATATTTTCTTAAGCGCACACACCTCCAAATATGTACCCTAGAAACTAGGTCTGAAGTCTTATAAAATCTCAGTTTATGTGCACATTTCTTACTATTTCAAAAACATTTCCCATTAATGATTTGACCCAACAAGGATTTAGTGATGGCCCACTGTTCCCCAGGCACCTTCCCAAGTGCTAAGGATACAGGGGTAAAGTAGACCCACAAGAGGTACATATCCTGATGCAAGAGGCATACAAAAAACACAGAGAAGCAGGAGAGCCAGAATATTAAGGACTGAACCTGGGAGTCAGACATCTGGGTTTGAATACAAATTTTGTTGCTTTCTGGCTGTGTGGCTTTGGCCAAATTATTTGCCTCTCTGTGCCTCAGTTTCCACAGCTATAAAATAAAATAATGAGGATAATTATACAACTTCCTTCATAGGGCTACAGTAAGACTGCTTCCTGGCTCATAGGGATTAGAACAGCTTCTCCAAAGAACCAAGACGCTAAGGTGCAGACAGCGTTTTAAAAGGTAAAAAAATGGGGATGACAAATTACGACAGACCTCATTTGATGACTGTACACATTACATGGTTTAATTCCCATAAAGTGCTTAGAATTGTGACTGGTATGTAATAAGTACTCAATAAATGTTAACTATTATCTTATTTTGAGCATGGAGTTTTTACTGGCTGTTGCACAGTGCTATGTAAGTTCCCTAAAGACACTAAGGAATCCTCCAGGCCAGTTTTAACAGGCAGTGTTGCTGCATTCTTGTGCTTAAGTTGAAGACTTCCTCCTTCAGTCACTTGTTCCAGGATGCATTTGTGTGAGGTAGGGAATCTGGCCCCAAGCACGGAAGACAAGTTTAAGATTTGGAAGTAAAGTATAGTAAGATTGAGGTAGCAATGACGAGACTGAGCTTGCAAAAACCCTGATGACAGAACCGCT